TCCAGATTGTTCCTAGCAAATTATAAGGGATAGTGTGCTGTACTTGTTGTAACCTACCTTAGCCACATACCATACACCATATTATTATTTTTTGCACTCCTCCTAAAAGTAAGAGGATCCGTCAAAGATCATTTTCCTAGGGATCTTGTGATCTTACCCGTCTATCGTATATCGTGCGGTCAGTTTTTATTAGGTACTATTCATAGTTAATTTTAAATTTTAAATTTTAAAATAATTTCTAACCATACGATTTACGATGAACGAGTGAGATCACAAGATTCCTATAACCCCTAGAAAAAGGATCCGGCGATGATCCTTTTCCCTCCTAAAATACTAAATTAATTAATTATATTATTTTTTTAAGAGACAAAACTGCACAAAAATATGCTCGCATGATCTTGTTACAGCATAAAGTATTGTGTTATGCTCCCTACCAATTCATTAGTTTTTATTATATTATATTAAGATTAATAAGATAATACCAACTAGTACCACATTCAAGTGATATTAATCTTTATTTGTAAGTGAAAGATCTCAGATTTGACTCACATAGATTGATGACGAAGTATGTTGAGATCGATACTTAATCAGTAATAGACACATTAGAGCATCTCCAAATAAGATGTCAAAAAGTTCAATCAACAATAACGGTGAAAAAAGACATCAATGGTGTTTTCCAACCGAAATGTAAATTCCTATGTGGCATGACATGGAATGGTAGCAAAGGGAGTTGCTGCCATATTTGACAGTAACTTCAAATCTATTCTTAGTGAGCAATAAATGTTTTTTATAATTTTAATTGTTATCTTTTGTTTTAAGAATACTAATTACAATTAAGATAAGTAAATAAGGTAATAAATAATAATTTAAATTTGACATATATGGTGGAGAATGAAATTGGAAAGAAAAAAAAATCAATTTGCCACATAAACTCTCAAATTTAAATTTTATGTAAAATTTGACATCTTCTTTAAAGATAATCTAATATGATGATGTTCAAGTTCTCTCATTTAGAATAGAATATGGTTGTATAGAAAAAAATTAAATTAATATGATTTAATGCGTTTATACGAGTAATATTCTCAAAAGAGGTGCAAAATGTTGCATGTGTGCGTGCAAAGCATGCATGCACGTGAATGTCGGCCTATTTTGGCAGTAGATTAGTTGACTTCATTAATTTCATAATTAAATTCTTTAGTAGTTTAATTGGGTGTTGTATGTGGCCGAGGCAACAGAAATCTTAGGAAGATTAATAATAATTGGCTAAATAATGCTAATTAGTATACTAATTGTCTATATTAATTTTAGACAACAGAAAGCATAGGCCAGCCAGGAAATCATGTTCTCTTTCGCTGGCATAGCACCGTACCATATCATGAAGGGCTTGCTATGTCTTGTGGTTACAAAGCCTTTGGGCCGTCCAAGCCCAAATTGTACTTTGGGAATCAAGAATATTCCAAGTATTTTGATTTGGGGTCTAAAACAACCTTTCCGTCATGCAGTTGCGAGTTTGTCACTGATACCTGGTGTGATACCTCCTTATCTTCAAAAACATAAAAAACGAATATTATGAGTATAGCACTGTAGGAGAGGATTCAAGTGACTAAATATTAATAACCAGTACTAGAGAAACTAGTTTTTAATATACTAGTTGCTGTTGTAGTGTTTATCATATATAAGAAATTATCGCATTAATTGGTAACTAAAATGTAGTCGCGGAGGAAGTGATCTAGACCAATGTTCTAAAAGATGGTAGGCGTTAGTTGGACGGCAGGCTAGAACCTAGCGGCTAGGCGGAGTCCTAGATGTACTAGACGGGTTTAAGAAAATTTATTATACATCGTATAAACAAGTGTATGCTGATACATAAAAAATACATAAGTTCATTAGGATATATAAACTGCAAAATAGAGTAATATATATCAAGTATTAGAACATAATGATTAATGAAAATAAGGGCAATAAGCATGTAATGTGTGATCACCTAAGTATTTAACAAGCCTTACAATTTATTAAAAATAAAATAAAATGCAAGATGATATCTATTTTTTGTCTATCGGGAGTTACGACCTAGGCAAGTGCCTAGGCGGGTTTGGGTGGGTTAGGATAGGCGTGTGCCTAAGCAGGTCTAGACGGCCTTTCTTAATTTTTTTAATTGCCTAGGATCAATCAGGGTGGTGGCCAGTCGCCTAGCACCTAGACAGGGCCTAGGCGGTGCTAGGTGGAGCATAAACGGCGCTAGGCAGGGATTTTTAAAACAGTGATCTAGACTAAACCTTCACTTCTTATCGCTCCCTCTCTTCTTCCCCTATGCCCTGTGTCAATCCCTGGATGACGTCTTCTAAATTTTCAGTTGTTTTCTCTAATGTAATGTAGAGTTTAATTGTTTTTCGACCTTCCTTCTCCTTTAATATTTTTTTTCTCATACAAGCGATGTTTTACATTAGTTGATCGATAAGTATCAAAACATGAAGCGAAGCATTTCCAAACTGCAGGTTGAAAACGGAAGAGCAATTTTTGTTTGATTGCTTTGAATGGGATGGTCAAAATTCAATCCCAATCGGCTCCTAAGTCTAAAATAACGACACATCACATCCTATATATACCATCATCCTTTTTCCTTTCTTTCTTCTTCACTCTTTCTTTCTTGTCTTTTTGGGTAACGTCTTAGCATGACCTTCTCATGTTGGCCCTTCCCCTCTCCCCAACCCAACACAAACATTTCCCCCATCTTCACATCGGTCAATCGATTCCCATCTTCACTAGTCCGTGTTCTCCCGACGCTTTGGCATTGGTTGCAGCGTCCTTCCTTCTTGTATTCCCTTAAGCTTTATTTCTAGGGAGTTTTAACGAAAAACCCACGGTACTGTTCACTTTAACGAAAAACTATATTTTTACACTAAAAAGTCAAACCTGGTACTATTCACTTTACCCTTTATTTTGTCCTTATCATTAAAACTCAAAGTTTTCAAGCCCTTTTCGTTAGTTTTCCTTTATTTTTATTACTTAGTTTGATGCATGCTTCTAAGTAGGCATTCATTGTATGTTTGACATCTCTATCTTGGTAATGAAATTTCCAGTTCACCAAAAATAAATAAATAAATTCCCTTCCCAATTTTACAATAATAGTTGGGAGGATTACATAATGGATCGAAAATATGATATCAAATTCTTTATTTACAAGGATCAAATTTCAATGGTCTCATTTACAATTAATGATGACTACCACTCAATTATACTACTCGCGACATTCAATAATTTAATTATTTAGCAAAGAATAAAAAAAAAAAAATTGATCATGTATTATACATCTCCTTAATACAACTAAAATTCACGCCGTTCTTAAGTAAGTCCTACCTCTCTTAAAAAGTGAAATATTTACTATTAGTCGCGTGAGCAAATGATCGATTTCTAACTGTAAATTCATGTAGGTGCACTAGCGGATGCAGTGGGGATCAACCCCTTTGATGTTTAATCTTTATCGTGGAAGCTGTATATTGACTCCTTGGAATTTCAACTGGTTGATATTATATATATGGAGTTTTATTTTGGGTTTCCGCTAGGTGGATGGTCACTATTCAGACTAATTCGTTGGTGTTTGAAAATTAAGAAATGGCGTTTAGACTTGCCTAGGTTGTAACTTTCATTTAGACAAAAAATCAATAACTTTATTTTGAATATTTTTTGTTCAATAAATTGTAAGAGACTTGTTGAATACTTGGATGAACACTCATTACATGCTTGTTCTCCATATTTTCAATATATTCTAATACTTTAATTTCCAATACAATTATGTATTTTTATACGTATAAATAGATTTACTTAAATCTGCCCAGTCCACCTAGCCGCTCCAGCGCTAGGCTCCAGCTTACCACCTGACTAGCACCTAACGTATTTTAGAACTTTAGTTTTGATTAATTGGTTGCGCTTTATTTTGGTTACTTGGTATAAGGTTTGTGTCTTCATTTTGGTTACCTTTTAAAAAAAATAATTTTAGCTTGTAATCTTATTTTTAAAACTTTTTTTAAGTAGCTTAGAAAATGACGATGAAGATTGACCCTAACAAATTAATGGATGTCTCTAAGAAATCGAATGGTGAAAATTGTTTTAAAAGTCAGAGTAGTACATGATAGTTTGAACTACAGAAGACAAACCCATATTTTCAGAACTTTTACGCTGTGTAGGCGGGTTTATTAAGCCCATGCACATTTACAATCAGTAATCGATCATGAATCAATTATGTACGACTAACTGTGACAAAATTCCCAGTTTGTACAAGGAGAACTTATACGCACACCTTAGACGACGCCATTTCGAGGTCTTAACAAATAATGCAATCACACGTGCCACTCTCTCTCTCTACTTAAACATAACGCAGATTAACTTGTAAGATAAGGGATAATGCTAGCAAGACCAAAATTTTCATATAAATTTACAAACTAAATCATGTATTACTAATAAAAAATAAGCACATCAATCGGTAATTAGTTGATAATACAATTATCAACGACCACATCATTTAGTTTAAGCATTTGATCTCCTTAACATTACTTTAACACTCTGTTTGGATGAAGAATTTTAAGATTACTAAGAAATTTTAAAAGAATTTGTGAATTTTCTTGTTCGGTTAACCTAAAAGAAGAATAGAATTTGAATACATAATTTTTTATTTTAAACTCTCAATCATAGAAAGTTGGAATGAAACATATTTACATGAAATATAAACTTAGGAATTTGAGGTTCCAAATTCTGATTTTTTGCTACATGAAAATTATAAATTTCTATATTTATGATTCTAGAAATTGATGCATATCAATTTATAAATTTTAACTTTGATCAAAATTTTAGGTTTATTTATCTCGTCCAAATATAATGTAACTTATAAGTGATACATAGATGATTATTCATGGTATGCGATCGAAATAATCAATACATATCGATCTGCCAAACGAGGCCAAGTGTCTCCGACAGTCACACTACAAAGTAACGAAAAGTCCCGAAGTGTCAAAAACAAAGTCCAGCTTGCATTGTTGCTTCCGTTTTACCCTCCTTCCATTTCTTTTCATTTTTCCATTTTCCACCAGAACTGACAAAAATCTTGGAACCAAAAATTTAGCAAAATCCCACAGCTGCCTTTTTTGAAAGACCATCACCCTATTTCCCTCAACTTCCCCATTCTTTCCCCAAAATTTCAACTCCCCCCACCACCACCAGCGCAACCTCTTAACGCAGCGTTTCATTTCATGGAATCTCCACCGCCGCCGCCTTCGCTTCAAGAGCTAGACGCGGCGGAGAAGATTATTCTCCTCTGGGACTCCACGGCTTCCGAGCAGGCCCGGGAACGAATGATATTTGACGGCCAACGCGACGAAGTCGATCGCTACTTACAGGCCGTCGATGAAATCCAACGCTCCTTGTCCTCCGCCACGCTTGCCTCCGAGGATGACCAGTCCAACCTCAACTCCGCCATCCAGATCGCCATGGCTCGGTTGGAGGACGAGTTCCGCAACATCCTCCTCAACCACACCACTCCCATCGAGCCCGACTCTCTTTCCTCAGCCGATCCGAGCTCGTCAACTCACTCCGGCATCGCTGATTCGAGCCCCGAGTTCGAGGACTACTCGGCTGAAGATGACGGCGGTTTGACCACACCTAAAGCCTCCTCCGTCACCGCCGTTGACGTCGACGAGCTTCTCCAGCGCGGCGATTCGTCGAACACTAGCAGCTACAGGTCCACCAGCAGCATCCGCGAGCTCGATCTCATCCCCTCCGATGCGGTCTTCGATCTCCGCAACATCGCCGAGCGGGTGATCGCCGCCGGCTACTTACGCGAGTGTATCCAGGTGTACGGCAGCGTAAGAAAGGGGGCGGTGGACTCCAGTTTCCGGAAGCTAGGGATTGAGAAGCTGAGCATCGGAGACGTTCAGAGACTTCAGTGGGAGCAGCTGGAGACCAAGATCCGACGGTGGATACGCGCCGCCAAGGCCTGCGTGAGGACCGTCTTCGCCTCCGAGAAAAAGCTCTGCGAGCAAATCTTCAACGGCATCGGCACCGCCATTGACGATGCTTGCTTTATGGAGACAGTCAAGGGCCCCGCGATTCAGCTGTTCAACTTCGCCGAGGCCATCAGCATAAGCCGGAGGTCTCCCGAGAAGCTCTTCAAGATTCTTGACTTGCACGATGCTCTGATGGACTTGATGCCAGATATTGAATCCGTTTTCGATTCAAAATCATCGGAGTCGATTCGGATTCAGGCGGTGGAGATACTGTCGAGGCTGGCGGAGGCGGCGAGGGGGATTCTATCGGAGTTTGAGAACGCTGTGCTTCGTGAACCCTCTAGGGTTCCAGTCCCGGGCGGAACGATTCATCCATTGACTCGGTACGTGATGAATTACATCAGTTTGATATCGGATTATAAGCAGACTTTGAATGAGCTTATTGTGTCGAAGCCGTCTACAGGGTCGCGGTACTCCAGCGACCCCACGACTCCGGATATGGAGTTCGCAGAGCTAGAGGGGAAAACCCCTCTGGCTCTGCATTTGATTTGGATTATTGTGATTTTGCAATTTAATTTGGATGGCAAGTCTAAGCACTATAAGGATGCTTCAATAGCTCACTTGTTTATGATGAACAATGTTCATTACATTGTTCAAAAGGTCAAGGGGTCCCCGGAATTGAGGGAGATGATTGGAGATGATTACTTGAGGAAGTTGACCGGGAAGTTCCGCCAGGCAGCCACTAGTTACCAGAGAGCTACTTGGGTCGGGGTGTTGTATTGTTTGAGAGACGAAGGGTTACATGTGAGTGGGAGTTTTTCTTCGGGGGTGTCGAAGAGTGCATTGAGAGAGAGGTTCAAGTCTTTCAATGCTATGTTTGAGGAGGTTCATAGGACTCAAGCTACTTGGTTGATACCAGATACTCAGCTTAGGGAGGAGCTAAGGATATCTATTTCAGAGAAGTTGATCCCAGCATACAGGTCGTTCCTTGGGCGGTTTAGGAGCCATATAGAAAGTGGGAAGCATCCAGAAAATTACATCAAGTATACGACCGAGGATTTGGAGACCGCTGTATTGGATTTCTTTGAGGGGTACTCAGTATCCCAGCACTTGAGGAGGAGATCTCAGTGAATGTGATCAATTGAAGTTAAGTTTTGCAAGTTTAGAAACTAGGACACATTCTTTGAATTTTTTGGGAGTGTTTGGGTGATGACGGTGCTGGTCGGTCTGGGATTCATTGAGCTTTCAATTTCATTAAAAACCCTATATAGTTCAATATTCTGTTGATTGGGGGAGGTCAGAATGTTTTATGAAGATCGCGGTTGGAGCACTACAGAGTGGCCAAGTCTACACGCCCGAATGCTCCTGCCCTGTAAGCATGTTATTTATTATTACTACCACGGTCTAGATTGTGTTTCATTTGTTCATACTCGAATTGTCTTGTGTGTGCTTAGTTCCACTCTTTTTTTAGTATCAAGAAGCCGTTTCTTATAGTAGCTCCAGGTTACTTGTATACCATGTCATATTTTTTTAGCCTTTGATAAGCAAATTGGAAAATTGAATTTTAGATAAGTTTTGCAAAATATTAGCAATTTCTGAAACGCACTTGTGATTATGTCGTTACCATATGATTGTTTCTAAATTTAGCAAGTTGAATGCCGCGTATTTAGAATCACGTTCAATAAAAGTTCGTGTAAAGTCACTCAAATTTCCAGAAATGAATGGGTGAGTTTTATGTTAACCGAGAGCTGTTTGTTGTATAGATAGTTGCAAGCACTGCATACGCATACATTAAACTAAAAGTTCATATTAAGGTTATTGACATCTCGGTAAAAATGCGTATTTACAGTTACTTGGTCCATTTATCCCTTCTTCAGAGAGACATGCTTTTGTAACAAAGGTGCCTGTGCTGTCTCCCTCTTTCAGTTTTCGGTATGTTAAACGAGCCAGCTTTATTTATATTGGTTTTGTTTCTCATGTAATTAGGAATCGTATGTTGATATGTTCGCTTGATGTATCTCTGTACCGTACAAAACTGACGATTACAGATTGAACTTCTCTCTGTAAATGTATTTTATAGCGGAGAGTCGTCTGTGATTAACTTATGCTGTAGCTGGATTTAGAGTTTGTTTGGAATCCTGGGTCAGGTCATTCTATCTGCTGCTTTTACGATCAACTAGCTCTTAGTATAGCAATATTCGTCTTGAAACAGTTGCCAATGGATAGTGTTCAAACAATGATCCATTATCCGGGAATATATCTCATGGCGAGGACCCCGTACCTGCAAACACCAGCAAATCTAACTAATTTTATAACCTCAACAACATACTATTTTATATGCCATGATCCTTGCTCCTCTGTGTATCATATGTTCCCTGTGTCGTGTTGGAGCAGCTGGATATTGTTGCAATGCCAACAAATATTCCAGCAGGGTTCTGTTCTTACTCTATCTTGTCTTCTTCATCGCCGCCATTTGACGCCCCATTACTGCCTTGAAGCGGTCTAGTTTCAAGAGCACTACCGGCATCCTTAGCAGGTGTTAGGGCCGGTTTTACGAGTGTTAAAGTCGTATCGTCCTTGTCAAACTCTTCGCTATCTCCGGAGTACGCATATCTAATAAAAACAAGAAAAACAGGGCGGGGATATGGTCACTAGAGTTCAAGTAAACTATGGGAGATGTCCCGTGAATTTACCTTTTTAAACACGAACAAAGTTTTGTAAGTGAGGAGGATGAAAGAAGAAGAATCATGGAAGCCAGGTGTTTACCTTGTTGAGGTCTGCGATGGCGCCCAAAGAATGCAGACGACAAATAGAAGAGTGAAAGATAAAACTTGCCAGAAGGCAGGGATGATCCATGCGTTCTGCCACTGCTCATTGTAAACATCATTTGATTTGAAATATAGCTGCAAGTACAAAGCCGAAAAACATCAATGTGAAATAACTGACTTCAACAAATTAAAAACAAAGAGAGTTGCACAAAAACGCATTCAACATACACAAATCATTTTGCGCAAGTAAAAAGTATCCCAAGGATGCACGAGATTACCTCATAGCATATCCAACCCACAGATACAATAACAGTTACTGCCAAAGCGTTCGTAAACTTTCTGTAAATGTCTAGTTTAACCATCATTCGCCTAGCCTGTCACAACACACAAGCAAGAAAAAAGTTATCAATAAGGTCTTCGCATCACATTATTTATGCCCTTCCGTAAGCCACACACACGAAAATTACAGGATCAACTGTTGGGGCCTGATGGCAAATGATCGGATAAATCAGAATCAAGTACATGTAGTTGGCATATACCACATCTCGAGATGAATAGTTCAGGTTGGTTCTCATATTCCTACATATTCAAGCACCTTTATTCTTCATTTTGGTGAAATGGAATACACAAATTGAGAAGATTTTATTTTATATCCTCATACCCTAAGAGCCTGTTTGGCGGGTTGGTTGGGATAGGTTGTGACCAATTAAAATGGACTTGAGTCCAGTCCATTATTTGTTGTGTCAAAATGTGAAATTGACAAGACTGGACATGAAGGGTTATGATTCCACAATAGAGTGGGTATCTAACCTACCCTTATACTTGGATTTCAAGTCATGTCTTACTTATCCCTGTCAATCCAATCCTATGCCTAAGGCCCAACACCATCCAGTCCACCAAATAGGCCTTGGAATAGGTTGTGGCCAATTAAAATGAACTTGAGTCCAACCCTTTGTTTGTTGTGTCAAATGTGAGATAGACAGGACATGACATGTTGGGTTATGAATCCATAATAGTGTGGATTATCTAATTTATCAGTAACATGGGTTACAAGTCCTGTCTTACATGTCCCTACCATTTTAATGGTACTCTTAGGTAATTTACTACATAGAGAAATAACATTTCAAAGATCTGCACATTCAATAAGAAGCAACTAGTGTGAAACTAGTAAACAAAGCTCTTAAATGAAAATTAATTCACCAAAATCCTTGGGACGAAAACCAAAGTACCTGAAGCTTATTTAAAGTTGCGGAGAGGGAAGTAAATATCCAAAGAATGAAGAACGCGTCCAATATTGCCACAGGAAGAACCAAGAACAATCTCGCCTTTCCGGAAAGATCACTTACTGCACCAACATTTTCTACCATCTCAAGAACTTCTGATGCCAAGAAGAAGGTCAATCCAAGCAAAATCACCTTTGATGTAAGCCCACCAAGGGAAGGCCTCACAACACCATAACCCATGGAGACCATTAAGAGTATCACCCGGGCTACCGTACGTTTAACTGTCCCAAACGTTACTGCCCATGCAGTTGTCCCAGTTGGCCTAACCCCCGTCTCATTGAATTCAGCATACTCAAAATACCAGAGAGCCATCTCAAACATACCGAGGGTTATTACCAGAGTGATGCAATTCTGCAATGGGAACACTTCTCTCCAAAATCTTGCATACTGCGAGAACCAACTGACCCCAAGTATGACAGAGGCAAGGGACATAAACCCATAGAAATTCATAAATGGAGCCATTCTACCAGGTAAATACCCACTAGGATTTTTCCATATAGTTTTCCCCTCCACAACCACATCCTTAATACTCGGATCACAATGAATGAAATACAAATTGTACATCCCGGTTTTCATAATCTGTATCGATTTGGACGGCAATGTGGCAACTTCCTCATTTTCTTCAAATGATACACCAAAAACCTGGGGCCAACCTGGATTCTCAGTTGACGGGCGGTGAATGATCTCTCCTTGTGCACACACCCCGAGTTTTGCGAGATCCCCCGAGCAACATACTGCTCTTTGACCACTGTAAGCTGAACCGCCAATGGTCTCTCTATCTTCCACCTCAAAAACAATGGCATGGACTGGCCATGAGCTCAAGTTTGCTGATTCTCTGCTTCTCCGAAACGTAACCTTTTCGAAGCTGGTTCCAAATTACAATAGCAAACAAGATACTTTTTGTACAAACAGGGTTTAACATATGTAAAAGAAAGACACAAGAAATGGGCTAATCACTTTCAATTTCAAATGTTGCAGTAAAACAGCTTTCGGCTTTTTAGTTTTTACCAAGCAAGCAATTTATCAACCAGAATTCATGAACCCCATAAATCAAATATTCAAATGAACACAAATGTGCATCAGATCTTAGCCAAATGCAAGTTAAACTGCAAAATGGGGAAATGGAATTCAATGATGTACTTTACCGTATGTAGAGTCGCCGCTGGCGGAGACGGAGGCGGACTGGGTAGATGCGGAAGAGTAAATTCCCTCGCTTCCGCCGTGGACGGCGAAGGCGCTGCCTTTGGTGGCGAATCTCTCGGCGGCGTACTCGTGGACCGAGGCTTCCGAGCTCAAAACGCAGAGCAGAAGAGCAAGTAGAGCAGGAGCTGAGAGACAAGTGGATGCTTCTCTCTCTTAGTCTCTGTGGTCGGTGAAAGGAAGTCTGACCGTTTTTGTCTCTACCTACACTCACGAATCCAGATCCTGGTCGAATTTTTTTGTAATGATCTCAGAAATTTGTGTATTGTGTATGTGCATAGTACAATTAGAAATTATTTTAAATATTTTTATTTAAAATTAAATACAATGATACCTGATAAAAATTAATCACACAATACACGATAAAAGGACAAAATTCTCGAATCTTCAAGATCCTCACCAAATAAATCCGGAAGATATTGTTGGTACACTCACAGACACTCTGTTAGGATTATGTTAATATGTTTAATTAATTACTATTTTAATATTATCATTCAGTACAACGATCTGATGATATTGCTCTTAATTATAATTGAAAAGTCTTATTGATTTTCTCTTTCTCATTCCGTGCATGGTTTATGACCCTCAAAAATGCTTTTCGAACTGAGGTTGAGAGTTATAAACTTTTGCCCCTTTTTCTAAACCGACCCTAGAACATGCATGATTGATCTGTTTTTATACAAACATGATTATTAATTTGTTTGTTTTGGACGGTTATGTGACGAATGCCATGAAAGTCAATGCGGTTGGTGTCTTGGTGATTATATTTTTCATTAATTTTTGGACACTCTAACTAAACTTCAGAAAGTATAAATTAGAACCTAAATTATCATATGAGTGAAAATTAGGTTTTTAAATTATTTTTTAGAAAAATCAGACATTGAATTATAAAAATTTACCAATTACAACCCTACTATTAGATTCAAAACTACTATATTTAATTTTCCGTCAATTTAAGTTACGATACTATCATGTGATACATATTGGAGGGTAGAATGATAATTTTTCATAAAGAAATAATGTATAGTGTTAACTTTAGAGGGTAAATTAGACGTGAGATTTGCAACTATATGAAATTTTAAGGGCTTATATGCGAGAAAATGACGGTATTACACTCTAAAGTGTGTCAAGTGACTTAAGTTGACGAAAAGTTAGATAAAATAGTTTTAAATATAATATTATTGATCAAATTAGCAATTTTTAATGAATTTAAGGACTTATTTTACAGAACAAATAATTCAAGAACCTAACTTTCACTTAGGTAATAATTCAAGAACTAAATAAACACGTCACCCATTAAAAAGAATGCATTATGTGTTGTAGTATAAAAAAAATTGCTATCATCGTATCCTCTATGCATTATTGCCAGTACACTCGGCCTGGACTCGTAAAAGCAGCTAGATTGAGTCTATATTTCCAGCATCAGTGATCAATCTCTGAAGGGTCCAGGCCGAAAACACAAGCATTTTTCATCTTAGAAGGTTTCCTGTAAAGTGACACCAAATCAAATCTTCGATGTGTCAAAAGACAAATATTCTTGCTGTCTTGTAGACTTCTTTGATGGTCTTTATTTCGTCAAATGGTCTATGAACAAGCTATATTAGGGTTCCCTAGAACTTTTGAATCCACAAAAAATAGTGAAACTTTTAAAGCAAAGGGATACTTCTATCAATTCAGCCAAATATTACAGAAAGAAATTTGAATTGCTGTTCGTTGAAATTCTAATTTCTGGAGATTTGACATCTACCATGCACGAACATCAGCTAACTACCGGAAGAAGAGAATGAAAAGCACTGCCATAATATTTGCAGAATGGGCAGCGAGTAAGTCCACGAACTTGGCAAAACTCCGTTAATCCATATCAAGGAACTCCATTCTTTTTCTCATTGTACCTTTAAGATCAGAAGCTTCCCTTTCTGCTTTCTGTGCCTGCCCAATTACAAAGCAAATCATCACTGCAGGTTTCCCACCAAATAGTAAAGCGACGTACATCCAAATATAACAAAGTGGGAGCCAAATGTCACAAAAACACTGTCAAAGAACAAATGACAAACATGCAAACCGAAAAAGAAATGACACACTCAAATTACATAAAATCTTGACTGAAGTTAAACCACCAATTGCTGTGCCCCAGCATCAAAAAAGCCCTAATTCTGTTGAAATATCCCACATCAACCGTATCTCTAAGAAAAGAAAAGTTTACATATCCTAACCCCACCCCTAACGGATTGTATAAGTGGTAATTACCAAGTTTGGGACAATATCGATGTTGTTGGAAACTTGGAAGTGGGCCTTTGGCCCGTCTCCCTCTGATAATTTCACCAAATTCAAACCCGCTAGGAACCAACCCATTGAAGAAATTCTGCCTCAACTTCAAATAATTACTAAACCGCAGTTTTGGTTGACCTAAAAACAATTTTCTGTTTCACCTAGTGATTCCAATCAATGTATTAAAAGCATGAGGCGTGGGCGAGGTGAAACCCGGCCTAGGCGTGAGGCATGAGGCGAAGCCTTACGGGATTAATTTTTTTTTTATATATATGTTTTATATATTAGAGGTCGCACTTGGTGCGATGACAAGTGCCTTCGCCCATGAGCGGTAGGTCTCGGGTTCGAGACTTGGGAGCAGCTTCTCCATAAATGGGGGTAAGGCTAGCCGACATTCACCTCTCCCAGACCCTGCGTAAAGCGGGAGCCTTGTGCACTGGGTACGACCTTTTTATATATGTTTTATATATTATACATATAATTGTATAAAAAATAATACTTTGTAAAATAAGCATCCATTCTCAATTATTCATTCAAATCCATAGTCATTCAAAAGATAATATCATCTAAATTCATCATTCAAAGGTAATATCACCCAAATTCATCATTCAAAAGGTAATACAAACAAAAAAAAAACAATCATTCATCCAAATCCTCTTCATATAAATCATCCTCTTCATATAAATCAAAATACAAACAAAGATATACTTTTCTGTCTATTAACCCCTCTACACTTTCTGACCTACTAGCACCTTCCATTATTATCCCCTTATCTACACTTTCTGTTTTCTATCTAATACCAACTATTCAAACATTTCTACAAACAAGGCAGCACGCAGAGGTAGAGCTCTTCCCCAGAAAACTAAATCCCTAACTTTTTCAGAATTTTAAAAACCCTAACCTTTGGGATCTTGCTAACGACGCTGGGCTGACGGTGCTGCTCCAAGCGGTGACGTGGCGACCGGTGCTGCTCCAATCGGCAGCTGTGTTCTTTGTTTTGGGCTTTTAGCACGCAGGAGAAGAAGCAAGAAGGCGAAGAAGGCAGAGGCAGACAAAGGTGATCGAAGGTATGGTATGAAGAGGATGTTTAAAACTGAAAATCCTTACCCAAACGGCATCGTTTTGGGTTTGGATGGTTTTAAACAAAAAAAAAAAAAAAAAAAAAAAAAAAACAAGGGCAGAGAAGGCGCCTGGATGCCTTGAGGCGCGCCTCCGCCACCTCGGTGTCGCCGGCAAAGCATTTCGCCTACTCCAGCAAAACAGAAGCGTTTGCCTCACCGCCCATCCTCAAGGGCGCCCTAGGTGCGCCTTGAGGCGAGTTCTTTAAAACATTGATTCCAATACATAAGAAAGAAAAAAAGGAAAGGAAACATTTTTCCAAGGGCTTTGCTCCACACCAAAAGGAATCTTGGTGGTGGAATGAGGAGGTACAAATAAAGGTGAAGGCCAAGAAGGAATGTTATAAAGCCTTATACAAGGATATGACCGATGAAAATGGTGAAAGGTATAGAATAGCGAAGCAGGACGCGAAGAAAGCTGTGAGAGAAGCTAAGCTAGCGGCTTATGACGATATGTATAAGTGACTAGATACCAAAAAATGAGAGTTGGATATCTATAAACTAGCTAGATCAAGGGAAAAGAAGACAATGGACCTAAACCAAGTGAGGTGCATCAAGGATGAGGATGAAAAAGTTCTTGCTACAGAGAACACGGTCAAAGACAGATAGAGAAGTTATTTTCATAATCTTTTCAATGAAGGACATGAAAGGAGTACTTCTTTGGGGGAGTTGAGTAACTTAGAAGAGTGTAGAAACTACTCATTTTAATGTCGAATCAAGAAGGAAGAAGTGGTTGTAGCTTTGAAAAAGATTATTCATAGAAAAGCTGTGGGTCCAGATAATATATCAATCGAAGTGTGGAAAGTCTTGGGAGAGATGGGTATAGCATGGCTCACAAACCTTTTTAATAGGATTTTGAAAACGAAAAAGATGCCAAATGAGTGGCGAAAGAGCACTTTGGTGCCTATCTACAAGAATAAGAGCGACGTACAAAATTGCATGAACTATAAAGGTATTAAGCTAATGAGTCATACAATGAAGCTCTGGGAGAGTCATTAAGCATAGACTGAGGCAAAAGACACGGGTTTCAAACAACCAATTCGGGTTCATATCAGGACGCTCAACCATGGAGGCAATCTATCTCTTACGAAAATTGATGGAAAGATATAGAGATAGAAAAAAAGATTTATGGTCTTTATAGATTTGAAAAAAGCATATGATAGGGTCCCAAGAGACATTCTTTGGAGGATTTTAGAGAAGAAAGGAATACGAGTAGCATATATCCAGGCTATAAATGATATGTATGATGGAGCAAAAACTACCGTAAGAACTCATGAAGGACAAACCGAAAGCTTCCCCATAACTGTTAGGTTACATCAAGGCTCATCCTTAAGTCCTTACCTTTTTGCATTGGTAATAAATGAGTTAACATGACATATTTAAGATGATATTCCTTGATGTATGCTTTTCGCGGACGATATAGTGTTGATAGATGAAACTCAGGAAAGGGTAAATGCGAAGCTTAACCTTTGGAGAGAAGTGTTGGAATCTAAAGGTCTTCGCCCAAGCCGATCAAAGACAAAATATATGGAGTGCAAGTTCAGTGCAAATGGAGGCCAAAATGAGTTAAGGGTGAGGCTCGAAGATCAGGAAGTACCAAAGAGCAACCACTGTCGCTACCTAGGATCTATCTTGCAAAAGAACGGAGAATTAGATGGAGACTCAACCATAGAATACAAGTTGGATGGATGAAGTGGATGAGTGCGTCTGGCGTGTTGTGTGACCGCCGTATGCCATTGAAGCTTAAGGGAAAATTTTATAGGACGACAATAAGGCCGGCGATGCTATATGGCACGGAATGTTGGACGGTGAAGCATCAGCACGTACATAAAATGGGTGTAGCGGAGATGAGGATGCTTCGTTGGATGTGTGGGCACACAAGAAATTATAAGATTAGGAATGAGGATATCCGAGGTAAAGTAGGAGTAGCCGAAACTGAAGGCAAGATGAGAGAAAATCGATTACGGTGGTTTGGACATGTGCAAAGAAGGCCTACTGACGCTCCGGTTAGAAGATGCGACTACGGGACAGAGGTTCAGGACCGAAGGGGTAGAGGAAGACCTAAGAAAATTTTGAAAGAGACTCTAAGAAAAAACTTAGAGTACTTTGATCTGACGGAGGACATGACACAGAACTGGGCGCAATGGCGTTCTAGGATTCATATAGCCGACCCCACTTAGTGGGAAAAGGCTTTGTTGTTGTTGTTGTTGTATTTTACCTATACTTAAGTTAATACCAATATAACAAGTGACACTCTTATCCCGCCACTCATCAGTACGCTTACCTTTGAACATAATGCTGAAGCCACAACTAAGTTGGCCGATTAAATCATCCTATAAGTTATAGAATCAACCTTCCTAAATTGTGATGAAGCTATGCTTCAAACTGCACCATTAACCTACTAATTTTCATTGCAGATTTTCGTCTCAAATCTTCATAATATTTGTGTTCAAACCAGGTGCTTTTAAACTACACAACATAACACTAGAGTTACAAACTCAATCTAAAACAACTCAGTAACTTGAACAATTGGAGACCAAAACAGATATTAATTCAACAAAGGAAAAAGAACGAAATCGAGATAGTTTATATCAACACACCATTTATAAAGATTATGAGCTGATAACACTTACCCTTTTAATTTCTGCAGCTGAAACACGAGTCATGTGCGGTGGAAGTTCCTCCCTCTCTGAATCCTAAGACATCAAGTGCAGATATAAACATTATTCAAAGATGCATATTTTGAGTTATAGATGACAAAGCAACAAATAACGTATCATACCAGCTCGCCGATTAGAACAACATTCTCCCCACGGATTACGTACAGACCCAAAGGGATATCACAGTAAAGATCGCCAACAATGACTCTCTCACAAGCACCCTCAAGAACAGCATTGGCTGCAAATCAGAAACAATTATTACTTCAGAATCTTCAGCGAAATTACAGTATCTTTTGCCCTCAACAACAGAGGAAATAATGTTAGTACCGAATTGATCAAACGATCGAAGTATCCCCAAAAGTTTTCGACCATCTCGGAGCAGCACAAGAAGTTTCTCTGCAGCATGAAAGCATATGACCACCACACCTTTAGCAGTAAGAAATGAATGGTTGACCCACCATTACAAAACTCCAGACTCTTTTCACTAGTACTCAACTCAAAAATTCAACATTGAAACCGAGATTTAAAGGAATACTCAGACAGCAAAACTTCAATACAAGAAAACAATTTATTCTGCAGGACCCTACCTGCAAATTATCTGAAATTAATCAACAAATACGAGAAAAATACTCAAATGGTAAAAAGACCAAATGTTTCAACTATGCAAGAACACAATTAGTAAAAACAACTAGAAACTAGAAAGAATTACCATTAACTTCATGTAACTAATGAAAATTCATAACCCCAGAAAGAAAAAAAGTATAAATTAGAGAGAGGGAAGAGAGAGAAAGAGAGAGAGAGAGAGAGAATACTGTCAAGATAGCTGGCCAGAGAAGTGGAAAGGTAGACATCTTCTGGGCCTGCCCAAGACATTGATGCTGCTTCTTCTCAACTCTAAAAACTCAAACTTTTTCGGATTCTCAAAAATCACCGAAAAATTCACCAATTTCCAAACCAACAATGGCATTGGAAGCTCAGCCTTCTCCGTGTTGCCTGCCCAAAACCCTCCAATTTTTTTGGAGAAAAAAGATCCTAACTTTGACGAACTGAGCAAGAAAATCCTAGCCTTTTCAGATCCAAAAACCCTAGAATTTGAGGAGAGACAGAGGATTAGAGGCCTCTCTTCCGGATTGATGGGAACGGATAGAGTTTTAATAAAAAATACTCAGATCCAATCGCCCCGGAAGAGTTTGAGAGGGGGATGTAGCCCCCATAACCTTCTTATATTCTCCTATTTTATACGATCACAGTTAAACCACGTTAATATTTGATTTTTATCTTATTATTTTTATAAAAAAATTAATATAAATATTGACGTGACTTAACCACCACACAAAATAGGAAAGCATAAAAAGGGTATAAAAAAGGGACGGCAGACAATACATCTCCTAGAAAAAAACAGAAGTTCATTGTACATAGGCCTGACAATTCCTGACACGATCCGATAACCCAACACGACACGACATGAAATTAACAGGTGTTCGGGTCGACACGATAACGAAACGGGTCGTTATCGGGTAACCCGATAAGCACCTGTTAATAGGGGTGGGTTCGGTTTAAATCGGTTCGGTTTTTTGCCAAAACCGAAACCAAACCGAAATTTCGGTTCGGTTCGGTTCGGTTCAATTTTTTTTCGGTTTTTTTCGGTTCGGTTTTTTTTCGGTTCGGTTTTTTCCTGTTCGGTTTCGGTTTTTTGTTTTTATTTTTTTTTTCAAAAAATGAAAAACATTGAAATTTTAAATTTTAACATATCCAACACAATCATAACATAAACATTCTAACTAGAATCAAAGACAATGAAAATAAACATTTAAAGTTGAACTAAAAGCATCAATCAAGTCTTCCAAAGTCCAAACTAACAACCTCACAACACAAAAATCACACAAAAATCGTACAAATGACTTAGAAAAGTTAAATTATATGATGTTGTTGAAAGATCAGTGTTGTTTGCTTGTAACTGCATGTTGACAACTTGATTAGTAAAGGTAATGCGTGGGTGGATTTATTTAGTGTGTGTTGGATTCTTTTCCATCACAAATTACCCAAGTAATCTACCCGAAATAAATGTTTATGGATTATGTTACATGTTATATGAGAGTAGATTTGGAAAAGAAAGCTGGCACAGAAGTAGACAGTGCTATAGAGATGGATGTAGGTACCTTGAGAAGAGGTTTGGTTCCGGAACCTTATATGGGGGAGAAATAATAGGTTAGGGTTTAGAGTTTTTATAGGCCCTTTTTTTTATATTTTGAGCTTAAAGTTTGGCAACACATTGGGTTTAGCACATTTTAACTTACAAATTGGGTTTAGAAAATAATACCCGAAACAAATAATTAAATAAAAAAATTAATTTAATTAATTCGGTTCGGTTTGGTTCGGTTTCTAGATCACTCAAACCGAACCGAACCAAAAGAATTCGGTTCGGTTCGGTTTTTTCAATTCAGTTCGATTTTTTCGTTCGGTTCGGTTTTTTCGGTTTCGGTTCGGTTTGGTTTTCGATTTTTTTCGGTTTTCGGTTTTTTGAACCCACCCCTACCTGTTAAGATAACGGGTTTGTTCGGTATACACGTGGGTAACACGATACACGATAAGCAGAATATTAATTTAATAATTTATAACCCTAAAAAAATACTATAATAATTATATATATATATATATATATTAATTTAACAATTTTATACCCCTAAAAACTATAATAATTATATATATATATATATATATATTAAATTAACTATAATAATTATATATACTATAATAATTATACCCAAAATATTAACTATAATAATTATATATATATATATATATATTAAATTTTATACCCCTAAAAACTATAATAATTATACATACAAAATAAATAGATTTAAATCTACTTAATAAATATATATATATATATATATACACACACACACCATTGAACTTCATGGGATACAAATTATACGAAACTAATTTCAACGATCCAACCGTCAAACATGTTTGTATATACTTCGAGATCGCATACGCCAAAAATTGCAAAAAACAAACATTCAGAGAGCAAGTAACGGGACAAAACTTTTTGACGGTTATAAACAAAAAATCACGATTTAACGGTCATTTTAACTCCGATTTTGATGATTTTTTACAACCACACTCCTTGACCCTATATGAATACAATGATTGAATTCGATCTTCAATTTAAAATATTTACACTAGTGGATACCACAAAATCTTATGTTATACTTAATAAAAGTATGAATAAACTCTTAAGTATTAGTAAATCTAATGTTTTGATGGGATACTCATTCTACAAAACTAGTTTCAATGATCCAACCGTCAAACATGTTTGTATATACTTCGAGATCGCATACGCCAAAAATTGCAAAAAACAAACATTCAGAGATCAAGTAATGGGACAAAAGTTTTCGACGGTTATAAACGAAAAATCACGATTTAACGGTTATTTTAACTCCGATTTTGATGATTTTTTACAACTACACTCCTTGACCCTATATGAATACAAGTAATGAATTCGATCTTCAATTTAAAATATTTACACTAGTGGATACCACAAAATCTTATATTATACTTAATAAAAGTATGAATAAACTATTAAGTATTAGTGAATCTATTGTTTTGATGGGATACTCATTCTACGAAACTAGTTTCAAAGATCCAACTGTCAAACATGTTTGTATATACTTCGAGATCGCATACGTCAAAAATTACAAAAAACAAACATTCAGAGATCAATTAACGGGATAAAACTTTTCTACGGTTATAAAAAGAAAAATCACGATTTAACGGTCATTTTAACTCTGATTTTGATGATTTTTTGCAGCTACACTCCTTGACCTTATATGAATACAATGATTGAATTCGATCTTCAATTTAAAATATTTACACTAGTGGATACCACAAAATCTTATATTATACTTAATAAAAGTATGAATAAACTATTAAGTATTAGTGAATCTATTGTTTTGATGGAATACTCATTCTACGAAACTAGTTTTAATGATCCAACCGTCGAACATGTTTATATATACTTCAAGATCGCATACGCCAAAAATTGCAAAAAACAAACATTCAGAGATCAAGTAACGGGACAAAACATTTCGACGGTTATAAACGAAAAAGCACGATTTAACGGTCATTTTAACTCCGATTTTGATGATTTTTTACAACTACACTCCTTGACCCTATATGAATACAATGATTGAATTCGATCTTCAATTTAAAATATTTACACTAGTGGATACCACAAAATCTTATGTTATACTTAATAAAAGTATGAATAAACTCTTAAGTATTAGTGAATCTATTGTTTTGATGGGATACTCATTCTACGAAACTAGTTTCAATGATCCAACCGTCAAACATATTTTTATATATTTCGAGATCACATACGCCAAAAATTGCAAAAAACAAACATTAAGAGAGCAAGTAAAGGGACAAAATGTTTCGACGGTTATAAACGAAAAATCACGATTTAACGGTTAATTTAACTCCGATTTTGATGATTTTTTACAACTACACTCCTTGACCTTATATGAATACAATGATTGAATTCGATCTTCAATTTAAAATATTTACACTAGTGGATACCACAAAATCTTATGTTATACTTAATAAAAGTATGAATAAACTATTAAGTATTAGTAAATCTATTGTTTTGATGGGATACTCATTCTACGAAACTAGTTTCAAAGATCCAACCGTCAAACATGTTTGTATATACTTCGAGATCGCATACGTCAAAAATTACAAAAAACAAACATTCAGAGATCAATTAACGGGACAAAACTTTTCGACGGTTATAAAAAGAAAAATCACGATTTAACGGTCATTTTAACTCTGATTTTGATGATTTTTTGCAGCTACACTCCTTGACCTTATATGAATACAATGATTGAATTTGATCTTCAATTTTAAATATTTACACTAGTGGAAACCACAAAATCTTATATTATACTTAATAAAAGTATGAATAAACTATTACGTATTAGTGAATCTATTGTTTTGATGGGATACTCATTCTACGAAACTAGTTTCAAAGATCCAACCGTCAAACATGTTTGTATATACTTCAAGATCGCATACGTCAAAAATTACAAAAAACAAACATTCAAAGATCAAGTAACGGGACAAAACTTTTCGACGGTTATAAACGAAAAATCACGATTTAACGGTCATTTTAACTCCGATTTTGATGTTTTTTTACAACCACACTCCTTGACCCTATATGAATACAATGATTGAATTCAATCTTCAATTTAAAATATTTACACTAGTGGATACCACAAAATCTTATATTATACTTAATAAAAGTATGAATAAACTATTAAGTATTAGTGAATCTATTGTTTTGATGGGATACTCATTCTACGAAACTAGTTTCAAAGATCCAACCGTCAAACATGTTTATATATACTTTGAGATTGCGTACGCAAAAAATTGCAAAAAACAAACATTCAGAGATCAAGTAACGGGACAAAACTTTTCGACGGTTATAAACGAAAAATCACGATTTAACGGTCATTTTAACTCTGATTTTGATGATTTTTTACAACTACACTCCTTGACCCTAGATGAATACAATGATTGAATTCGATCTTCAATTTAAAATATTTACACTAGTGGAAACCACAAAATCTTATGTTATACTTAATAAAAGTATGAATAAACTCTTAAGTATTAGTGAATCTATTGTTTTGATGGGATACTCATTCTACGAAACTAGTTTCAATGATCCAACCGTCAAACATGTTTGTATATATTTTGAGATCGCATACGCCAAAAATTGCGAAAAACAAACATTCAGAGAGCACGTAACGAGACAAAACTTTTCGACGGTTATAAACGAAAAATCACGATTTAACGGTTAATTTAACTCCGATTTTGATGATTTTTTACAACTACAGTCTTTGACCTTATATGAATACAATGATTGAATTCGATCTTCAATTTAAAATATTTACACTAGTGGATACCACAAAATCTTATGTTTATACTTAATAAAAGTATGGTATAGTACTATTGTTTTATTTTTTTTCATAATTATTTTGGTAAACTTCTCATAATTTGAATGATTTTTAATATTTGGTTTTTCTATGCTTAGTTTATGCAGAAGATAGTTATGACGTGGAAAACCTTACTGAAAACATCATCAACATAACTCTTGAAGGCAATAGATCAAGCCAAAGTTCCAATGCAATTTCATGATAATCGATGTAAATC